TAAAATAGGAAAAAATCAGGAAATTAGTTTAAAAATGACATTACTTTTGTCTCTTTCCAGCGTTTTAAGATGCATTTTTGAGAAATTTCATTCAATTATGTCGAAAAATTACTAAATTAATTGAAAAATAACATAATTTTTGCTTTTTTCAAAACTTTAAACACATTTTTGCGAGAAAACTCAAAAAATCAAAAATCAAAAAATCGAAAAATTATATCAAAAAATTACTAAATTAATTGAAAAATAAGATAATTTTTACTTTTTTCGAAGCTTTAAACACATTTTTGCGAGAAAACTCAAAAAATCAAAAATCAAAAAAATCGACAAATTATGTTAAAAAATTACAAAATTAATTGAAAAGTAACATTATTTTTGATTTTTTCGAAACTTTAACACGTTTTTGACAAAAAACAGTTTTTTTTAAAGATATCGTTATTTCGTAACCAAAAAGAATTTTCTTAGACATTTATTTTTGCTTTCTTTGAATGAAAGTTTCATCATGTGTTTGCTAAAAACCAAAAAAATCGCCACATTATGTCAAAAAATTACTAAATTAATTAAAAAATATTTGCCTTTTTCCAAACTTTAAACACATTTTTGAAAGAAAACTCAAAAAATCACAAAAATTGCCAATTATTTTAAAAATTACAACTAAATTAATTGAAAAATAACATAATTGTTGCTTTTTTCGAAACTTTAAATACGTTTTTGACAAAAAACTCAGTTTTTTAAGACTTTATTTCGTAGCAAAAAAGAATTTACTTAGACCAAAAAATCGCCAAAGTATGTCAAAACATCACTAAATTAATTAAAAAATAACATTATTTTTGCCTTTTTCGAAACTTTAAACACATTTTTCTTTTAAACTCAAAAAATCAAAAAAATCGCCAAATTATGTTAAAAAATTACTAAATTAATAAAAAATAACACTATTTTTGCTTTTTTCGAAACTTTAAACCCGTTTTTGACAAAAAACAGATTTTTTAAGATTTCGCTATTTCGTAGCCAAAAAGAATTATCTTAGATATTTATTTTTGCTCTCTTTGAAAGTTTCATCATGTGCTTTGCTCAAAAACCAAAAAAATCGTCAAATTATGTCAAAAAATCACTAAATCAAGCCGAAAATAACATTATTTTTGTCTTTATTGTGCGTTTTGGCATATTTTTGAGAAAAAAAACGTTTTTTTTACGTTTTTGCTATTTTGTAGCTAAAAAGAATAATCTTAGATATTGATTTTTGCTTACTTTAAAAATTTCATCAAGTGTTCTGCTCAAAAACCAAAAAAAAAATCGCCAAATTATGTCAAAAAATCACTAAATTAAGCAGAAAATAACATTATAATTGCCTTTATTGCGCGTTTTGGAATGTTTTTCAGTCAAAAATGCACTTTTTCGATATAAATTCCATACAAGCAAACTGAAAAAAAACCACATTAAATTTTAATAATTTTTTCTTATTTTGTAGCTTGCCTCGAAAATTATGTTTTTCGAACAAGAATTGCAATAAACAACGTGTTGGAGATTAATTGTGAATAAAAACATTCAAAAAAGAAAAACTTCTCTCTACACTGGCAAGGTACTTTTCTGTCCGCACTTTGCTCATAACAAAACCTCACCTTTAACAAGATCCGGAAATTTATCCAAAGCCAGATGAATCCGCACCGGAATTTCCGGATTTGGAATATCGGCTCGTTTACATTTGATCCTCCGTAAATGATCAGTGACTTGTTTTTTACTATAAAGTAACGCCATATCACTGCCATTATCTAACGCATGTTGTGTAAACTCAATACAATGATCTGTCATACGTGAAAGCTGCTCCAAAGCTTGCTTTTTCTCCTGCAAAGTCTTCTGTTTACTGTCACAAACTTCGGTTAATTTTGAAACGAGTTGTTTCCCCCTAACATTAATCGTATTCGTCAACCTGCAACAAAATTAACTTAATTCAACCAAATTCAATCAAAAAATAATAATTACTTGACAACAAGTTGTGTGATTTCCTTAACTAGGGCTTGTTTTTTGTCAACGATCAAATTCTGACGGTCATCAATCACCTTCATTGCGCTATTTAACAAAGCCCTTTTGTAACTGAAATTCCAAAAATAAATTAAAATAAAACAAACTGACTGAAACTCACCCAACATCCTTCAACATATCAGCTATGAATTTTCGCGTTTCTGAGGCAATCTCATTGGTGAATTTATACTTGTGTTCCCTGTGTTCAATCAACTGACAATCGCGACACGTTAATTTATCGCAGGTTTCACAAAATAGTGATAATTTTTCCTGGGGGTGACTCAAACAGAACAAATTAGGTGAAGTATTACTCGAGGATGATTGGTTGTCGACCCCCTCTTCTTTAGCCTTGATAGTGTGGTCTTTAGTTATTTTAAGCCTAATTAAAAATTGATTATGACAAAAAAATCGATCATTTTATTGGTTGGTTCACCTCTGATGTGCTTGAACACAACTATCACAAATGTACTCAGAGCAATCGACACACCAACTCGTCGCAATTGCGTCATCACTGCAACTGCTGCATTTCAAGTCTGCTAATTTCGCTGAGTTGTCTTCGTTATTTGCAAGAAATTGGTTGTCGATGATTTTATTTGGTTCACACACTATATTGCACTGTGGACACTCAACAGTATCTGAAACGAGATATTGACTTATTGATTGCGCTATTTGGGGCTTACTTTTCTCCAATTCCGTCTCGTAGAGCTTGTTCCCAATGCAGGTCCCACAAGCATTGTGCAAACACTCCAACAGCTTGGGCTCGTCGCCGCCGCTGAGGACCTGCTCGCAGAAGACGCACTTGAAGGTGAAGGCCCCCGTTGTGGGGCTCTCGACGTGCTCCTCACTCGCCTCCTTCGCTTCGTCTTTCGATTCTTCGACGAGAGAATCATCACAAATCATTTCACTTTGCTCGGTTAGATTTTGAACCGAGTCAATCACATCCTTGTCAGTGGACTCCTGGTGATTCATGTAATTGCTCTCGTTGTAATAAATATTTGATTCGGCCATCGTGGACAATATTAGGAGCAATTAAAAATTGATGATGTTGGGGGAGCTGATTTTAAATTTTAATCACCACCTTGATCGGGGATGCTTGAGTGGAGTTTTCCACTCCATTTTCACTCACGGCACAATTCTAACGCACTTATTTACGCTTTTTTTCCATATTTTAATATTTTTAAGGACGCTTTTTCCAGAAAACACATCAATCTTGTTTTAGTCACAACTGTCACCAACATTGCAAAACTCAACACCCTAACTTCAAACGCTAATTTCACTCATTTGCATAAATGAAAACACGAGAATAACACACTTTGGGGCGAATGTTCGACGAAATTGACAAAAATTAGGGCAATTGCCCCAAAAACTTGCTTCAATTTTAGCAATTTTCTTCGTTGAGGTTGGCTATAATTTTGGCGGAACACAGCCAACTAGCTTCAAACGAATCAACTCTGTTATTATCGCATTTAAATTTAATTTTACTTTGTGTGCCAGTTTATCGTAAAGTAGAGTCGCATTTAATTTTTTAATGCAATTATTTATTTAAAAACTTGGGAGATGCGCGGAAGTGTGCCGACATTTGAGACACTTCCACTGCCATCACCAGCAATACTTGATAGTTTTTGGGTTCTTGCGATTGAATTACCGGATTGTTTGATTTAATTTCTAACTAAATAACTAACTAAAAATAAAATTCAAGTTGCATTTAATTTTTATTTAAATCTTGGAGAGCCTACTTTTCTTGCCGTCACCATCACCACTTCCATTGACTACCATTTGGTTTGAAAAAGTAAAATAATTTTTGGATTTTGCGGTTAAATTATCGGATTATTTTATTTAATTTGGGACAAAAAATAAATCCAAAAACGCATTTAAATTTTTAATGCAATTATTTATTTAAAAGGATGAGAGATGAAAGTGTGCCGATATTTGAGACACTTCCAGTTCCACTTTGTGTATCTTGCGAATAAAGCACCGGATTATTTTATTTAGTTTTGGAAAAAATAATATTAAGATCGCCTTTAATTTTTTTAATTATTTATTTAAAAACTTGAGAGATGCGCGGAAGTGTGCCGACATTTGAGACACTTCCACTGCCATCACCAGCAATACTTGATAGTTTTTGGGTCTTGCGATTGAATTACCGGATTGTTTGATTTAATTTCTAACTAAATAACTAACTAAAAATAAAATTAAAGTTGCATTTAATTTTTATTTAAATCTTGGAGAGTCTACTTTTCTTGCCGTCACCATCACCACTTCCATTGACCACCATTTGGTTTGAAAAAGTGAAATAATTTTTGGATTTTGCGGTTAAATTACTGGATTATTTTATTTAGTTTCGGAAAAAATAATATTAGAATTGCCTTTAATTTTTTAATGCAATTATTTATTTAAAAGCATGAGAAATGAAAGTGTGCCGATATTTGAGACACTTCCAGTTCCACTTTGTGTATCTTGCGATTAAATCACCGGATTATTTCATTTAATTTGGGACAAAAAATGCCATTAAGGTCGCATTTCATTTTTTAATGCAATCATTTATTTAAAAAACTTGTAAGTGTGACGACATTTGAGACACTTCCACTGCCATCACCAGCAATACTTAATAGTTTTTGGGTCTTGGGGTTGAATTACCGGATTGTTTGATTTAATTTCTAACAAAAAATAAAATTAAAGTCGCATTTAATTTTTATTTAAATCTTGGAGCGCCTCCTTTTCTTGCCGTCACCATCACCACTTCCAATGACCACCATTTCGTTTGAAAAAGTGAGATAATTTTTGGATTTTGCGGTTAAATTACTGGATTATTTTATTTAGTTTTGAAAAAAATTATATTAGGATCGCCTTTAATTTTTTAATGCAATTATTTATTTAAAAGCATGAGAAATGAAAGTGTGCCGATATTTGAAACACTTCCAGTTCCACTTTGTGTATCTTGCGATTAAATCACCGGATTATTTTATTTAATTTGGGACAAAAAATGCCATTAAGGTCGCATTTCATTTTTTAATGCAATTATTTATTTAAAAAACTTGTGTGACGACATTTGAGACACTTCCATTGCCACCACAGCACTATTTCACAAAGTGAAATAATTTTTTGTCTTGCGGTCAAATTCCCGGATTATTGTATTTAATTCGGGACAAAAATGAAACCAAAGACGCATTTAATTTTTATTTAAAAATTGGGTGCGCGTGTGACACTTCCCTTGCCGTCACTAATACCACTTCCATTGACCACCATTTTTGACGTTTGAAAAAGTGAAATAATTTTTGTGTTTTGCGGTTAAATTCCTCGCTTATTTTATTTAATTTATGCGAAAAAATGACGAGGTAAGTCACTACTACGTATTTTTCGTCGTTTTATGCATTTATTTCAGGGCTAATATCGAGTTAGGAAACGTAACCCCACATAATATTAAACAACTAAAGCGCCTAAACAGCGTGGTTTTCCCCGTCTCTTATAACGACAAATTTTACAAAGACGTCCTCGAAGCGGGCGAATTGGCTAAATTAGCCTATTACAATGACATAGTCGTGGGGGCTGTATGTTGTCGAATTGATACATCGGAAAAATCGCGTCGTTTGTACATCATGACTTTGGGGTGTTTGTACCCCTATCGCCGGCTCGGAATAGGCACACTCATGGTACAACACGTCTTATATTACGTCGAACAGGACGGGAACTTCGATAGCATATTCCTGTAAGCCCCCTTTTGCCCCAACTCCACCTAACTCAATTCTTCCAGCCACGTGCAAGTCAACAACGAAGGGGCCATAGATTTCTACAAGAAGTTCGGTTTTGAAATCGTTGAGACCAAAGAACACTACTACAAGAGAATAGAACCAGCGGATGCTCACGTTTTGCAAAAAACTTTACGGAAAAAAGGCCAAACCAACGGTAATGCTGAATAAAGACAGTCATTTTTTTGTTACAGTATTGTATAATTGTTTAATAAAGTTTGAATTGAATGATTATCTGCAACCACACGCAGAAACGACCATTTCGGGGTAAAATTTCATCACAATATTGCCGTTTCTGTCGTAGAACATTATCGCAAGCGGCGTGTATCTAGTGGGGGCACAGCAGGGGGTTTTGCGCCCCAATTCGGGGAAAAAACTCGTGGTTTTCTTGTGATTTGGGAGTTGTTCGGTGCGGTAACACGTCCCGTGGCAATTGTACGCGTTGTACCCCCCTGGAGATATAATGAATTTCGTCCAATTCAGTTTTTGGAAGTCTATGTACAAGTCATGGCGTCTGCAAGCGTTATTTTCAGCGATTTCAGCGTCATTTGCTCCTGAAACACAATTTTAAGTTGGCTGAAATTCAGGGAAGAACTCACCGTTTCTTGACTCCGATTTCAGGATAAGGAAAGTTCTGAAAGCGTTTCTGTTACTGTCATTGAAAAGTGTGAATTGTTCGTCGTTTGGTTTCGAAATTGTGATAAATAATGACAAGTTTTTTGGGTCTTTTACCCAATTATGCAACGATTTGCTTAATTTAAACACCTGAAAATTATGAAATAATTACTGAAAAACGTAATTTTTTGCTCATCACCTGCCACCCACTTTCAGCCTGATAAATGTAAATAACATTAAGGAGTTTGTGTGAATCTGGATTTATCAAAGCCGTTTCATTAATTTCGTTTTGTGCTTGGTAGAGGCGCAAAATTAGCGGTTTTTGGGTCAAATTTGCGTCAACTTTGTGGTAGAAATGTAACTCGACATCGTCAAACTCGAATTTACGTGTTTTAAATTTAATTATGGTTGAATTTAACGGATTTGCGTTGAAGATTATGTGAACAGGACCGGCCTCATTTCGAGAATAAGCTTCGTAATACTTRTAAATATACGATGGTAGGTTATTTCGGGTGATATTTGTCCAATTGTAGTTCCATTCGGGGTCCAAAAGTGGGTGAATATGAGTTTTTGTGTCCTAAATTGGCAATTAAAAAAAAATTCTCTAAACTGTAACTTACATTAGTGGCAATTTTGCGCGTAATGTTATTCCTGAGTTCGCTTATTTGCGGGTAATTAGCCACAGTTTTATTCAAATTGACACGATTTCTGACCATGAATTCATTACTTGTTTTATTTAAATTAAAATAATAAGTTTTGGCCTCGATTTGGGCCAAAAACACAAAAATCGACACAATTATCAACCGCATTGTCACACAAGACTGGGCTAATTGGAAAATTAAACACCTAAATGAGTTAGGAAGTTGTAAATTCGCCAATTTAGGGGCAATTTTCAAATTACCCGCCATTTCGTCCTTGAACCACCTCACCCAAATGTGAGGTTACATTTATGTCCACCACAAAAAAAAACACCGAAACTATACAAAATGATTGAAAAAAGCCAATTTTAACAGAGGTAACCCTCCTGTTGCAGAAATTAAACGACAAAACAGGTTATGAAGTTGTAAATTCTCTAATTTAGTGGCAATTTTCAAATTCGGCGCCATTTTGTCCTAATAAATGTTCAAATCAAAAAAATTGGGTTTTGTTGTAAAAACTGTGCGAATACATTGTTAAGACTCGTGTGATAAAAATTAAACGCGTAAATAAATAAGGAAGTTGTAAATTCTCCAATTTGGTGGCAATTTTCAAATCCCCCGCCATTTTGTCCTCAAACGTGAGGTTATGTTTCATGTTCAAACCAGAAAATAATCATGGGTTTTGTTGTAAAAACCGCAAAAACGTTGCGAAATCATTGGAAGAAGTCTACGTTTGCGGCAGTGGCCCTCCTGTACGGCTCCCAATACGCCAAGGAGCGTTTCGAGTGAGTGWCCTAACCTCAYATTTAGCCCCCTTAAATTCGCTTGTAGGACTCAAGAATTGATGCGTGTTTATTGCGAGAAGGCTGCGAAATTGGGCGAAGCCCCAATCAGAGTGGAGGCCGACCCCCGCACCGTCACGGTAATCCTAAACCCCAACGCGAATCGGCGTAAAGCCGGCGATGARTTTGAGAAATATTGCGCCCCCTTGTTGCATTTGGCCGGGATTTGCGTGAACGTCGTCAAGACCGAGTCGGAGGGGCATGCCAGGAGTCTCATCGGGGATTTGAACGGGACGGATGCGGTGGTTGTGGCAGGGGGCGATGGGACTGTCTCGGAGGTGATCACGGGGCTGTTGCGGCGTACGCAGGAAAACACYGAGGGGTTGATACCAATAGGTGTTTTGCCCTTGGGTAAGACCAATTCAGTGGCGAGAGTTTTGTTCCCTTGTGGGGGCTATTTGGAGAAGGTGCGGTCGTTGGCCGACGCCACGATGGCGGTSGTTGAAGAAGTCGTTCAACCGATTGATGTTTTGAAAGTTGAGGTGTTGGAAAGTGAAAATAAGCCGATTTATGCTGTCTCTGGGATTAAATGGGGGGCTTACAGAGACGCAGAAACGAAAAAAGACAGTTATTGGCTTTATGGCAAGTTTCGTAATTATGTCACTTATTTATTTAACGGATTTAGAAGTAATTTGACGTGGAATTGCGCAGCTGAGCTTAATTACACACCCCCTTGTACAGGGTGTTCCAATTGTGCTCAAGCAACACAAAGGCCAAAAAAGTGGTTTCAGAGGTAAGTCCACGTTGCAGTTTTCTTTACACAAATATTTAGATTTGTTAAAGACCAAAAACCGACCTTTTCGAATATCACCAATCCGGAATGTCGGACAATTTATCAAAGGGATATTTCAACAGTTGATTTTAATCTAACAGTAGATGGTGAAAAAGTCCCCAAATTGGTGGTCAATGTGGGGCCACAAAGTGTCGATTATTTCGATTTTGTCAAAGAAGGGTGGAAGTCGGAAAAGGGACAAAAAAGAACAGTGAGCGAGATTATTGAAGCGAGGTCGATGGAAATTCAGCCAAAATTGGCGAAAAATGAGGAAAAATTCTTTTCTATTGATAACGAAAATTATGAACTGAAACCGGTCAGAGTTACGCTCTTGCCGAAATTGATTAACGTTTTTTGTAAAAAAGAAAATTTGTAAATAAAAAATTTAAGTTGGCAACTATGCGTAAATTCAAGCAATCCTAACCTCAATTTTCCCTAAAAATGATTTTCTCAAGTGGCCCATTTTTGAGGCAGCAAAAAATAATTAAAATTTTTTTTCTCTTTTCTTTTTAGTCTGGTTTAGAGACTTTTCGAAAAATTAATGAGTTTTTAGATCAAAAATGTCTTTAAACGTTCGAAAATTGAATATTTTCCAGGGTGTTTGTGTGAAATTTTGCTAAAAGATAGCCTTTATGGTTAAAAAAAAGTGAAAAAACCGATGAGCAAAAGCAAAAAATTTCATTTTCTGTTTAATTTTTAAATATATATCTACATGTTTTTTTATCACTTTTCTTATACTTTGTCTTTATTTTTCTTTATGTAGGCTTTTGTTTTATCACGTTTATTAGTTTACTTATTTGTTTATTTTTTGTTATACTTCTATTATGTTTGTTTGTTCTATTATTGGAATACTTGTATATTCTCTTGAATAAAAAAGCATTATTATTATGTGAAAAGCTGAATTTTTAGCTCAAAAACATGTTTAAACGCTTGAAAAAAAGCAAAAACAACATCATTTTCAACCTTATTTGGTGATTTTTCAGACTGTTTAAGAGAAATCTCACAAAAAACTTAGTTTCTCGCTCAAATATGTGCTTAAAAGCTTTAAATAAAGCCTAAAAACGTCTTTCAATTTTTTGAAAAATTTCAAAAATTGTTTGAGCGAAATTTTGCAAAAAGAGCGTTTCTGATAAAAAAAAAATTGAAAAAACGGTTGAAAAAAGACAAAAAATGTAATTTGCTCATGTTTAAACGCTTGAAAAATCTAAAAATAACATCATTGTCAACTTTATTTGGTGATTTTTCAGACAGTTTAAGAGAAATCTTACAAAAAACTGCTTTCCTAACATAATTTTCGTGCCAATTAAGTTATTTTTTTGGCTTCTCCAGCGAAATTACGTAAACAAATATTTTTTTATCTAATTTTTGAAAAAAACAGCTAAAATTGCTTCAGTCTTTGAAAATTGCAAAAATTAGATTAGTTTTGGTGATTTTGCAGCTTGCTTGAGTGRAATTTTGCAAAAAAGTGCAAAGAAATTGTAATAAAATGCTTGAAAAAAAACAAAATAATATCTTTTACTAACTAATTTTGTAATTGTTGGTATGGTTTAGCAAAATTTTGCAAAAAGCTCAATTTTTAGATCAAAAAAACGATTAAAAAGAGCGAAAATAACATCATTTTTACTTTAATTTGGTGTTTTTTCAGACTGTTAAAAACTRAGTTTTTAATTCAAAAAAATTGTTTTTGAATTTGGGTTGTTTTAGCGAAATTTTGTAAGAAATATGTGCGTTTTTGGCTAAAAGACAGTCAAAAATAATGTTATTTTCGTGTAATTTTGTAAAATCTTATTTTTTTAACTCATAAACGTCTTTAAGCGTTCGAAAATGATAAAAATTAGAGTATTTTTAGATTTATTTAGGTGATTTTTCAGCTTGTATTTGAGCGAAATATGCAAAAAGTGCGTTTCTAATAAAAAAATCTGAAACACTTGAAAAAAGCAAAATAGTGTTTTTTGTAATTTTAAGTTTAAAAACATGTTTAAACGCTTGAAAAATGCAAAAATTTTGAACTTCATTTGGTACTTTTTCGGACAGTTTAAGAAAAATCTCGAAAAAATAATTAACTTTTAGGTTAAAAATGTGCTTAAAAAAGGTTGAAAATAAAGACAAGGAGAACACAACACTATTCTTCACCTATTTGGGTGATATTTCGATTGTTTTAATCAAAATCAATAAAAAAAACGTAATTTTGTAATAAAAAAGAACATTTCTGATTTAAAAAATGTGCTAAAACGCTTGAAAAATACAAAAATTTTGCAAAAAACAGAACAAGCGTTTGAAAAATGCAAATATAACTTCATTTTCGATTTAATTTGATTTTTAACCTCATTATTAAAAAAAAAACATTCGATGATTTTTTATTTGTTTATGAGATTTTTTGAAGTATGTATTCACTCTTTGCCTCTGTTTTTTCCAATTTTTTTTTAAAATAATAAAAAAACTACATCTGAATTTGACAAAAATCGAGATAATGGGTTTTAAAAGTGTAAAAAACGTCTTTATTTTTTCTATCAACTCTATTAGACCAATACAAGAAAAACAGTACTAATCTTTTTAAATTTCATTTTTTTAACTCAAAAACGTCTCTAAGCGTTCGAAAATTTAGTATTTTTAGATTAATTTAGGCGATTTTTCAGCTTGTATTTGAGCGAAATTTTGCAAAAAGTGCGTTTCTAATAAAAAAAAATCTGAAACACTTGAAAAAGCAAAATAGTGTTTTTGAAAATGGCAAAAATTTTCAACTTCATTTGATAATTTTTCACAGTTTAAGAAAAATCTCGAAGAAAATTAACTTTTAATAGGTTAAAAATGTGCTTAAATAAGGTTGAAAAAAGACAAGGAGAACACAGCACTATTTTTGACCCATTTGGGTGATATTTCGATTGTTTTGGCAAAATATAACAAAAATAAATTAAAAAATCATAAAAAAGAACATTTCTGATTTAAAAAATGTGCTAAAACGCTTGAAAAATACAAAAATTTTGCAAAAAGATGAACAAACGTTTGATAAAAGTAAATATAATTTTCGATTTAATTTGGTGATTTTTTAGTCTCATTATTAAAAAAAAACATTCAATGATTTTTTATTTGTTTSTGACATTTTTTGAAGTGGCTCTGTTTTTTCCAATTTTTTTAAAAACAACATCTGAATTTGACAAAAATCGAGATAATGGGTTAAAAAAAAAGTCTTTATTTTTTCTATCAACTCTATTAGACCAATACAAGAAAAACAATAGAAAATTACAAAATGGCAGTGATCGACCCTTTCCACCAAGTCACTCTTTCAAAAGCGCCATTTGCAACAACGGTATAACAGAAATCGACGACAAATCCGCTAAAACAGCCTCAATATTTTGCAACGTATTCACTTTCAACAAATTCTCCTTCCGAAAAATGAGAATCACAAGCGCCAACATCGGGATTATCTCCAGCGAATCGTACGCCAGAATCAAATCCCACAAATTCAGCAATTGCTCGGGTGGTAAATGACCACTGAACGCACGCATTATCCACTTAATCACCACTCGAACCCTGAAAAAAAAACTGAAAAATCCTGAAATCACCCAAAAGTTAGCTTACGGATGAATTTGACATTTTCGGAAATGGTGCCAAAGACTGGGCTCAAAACACTGCAACATTTTCTCATATTGGAGACACAACGCGACCACTCCTTGCGGATTTCCACACACACGATGCAAACGATGAAAATATCGTATGTAAAACGTGCGAAAAACGAAATAAAGTTGAATCGGGTCGTCGTACAAGTAGCAAAAAGGGGCAGCTTGAAATCTCGCTCACTATCACACAGTTGTGAAATAACACACTTACCATACATTGTGAACCCGTGAAAAGGTATTACACCACTAGGTGGGAAAATAATCGTGTTTTCAGCACCGTTTTGCTTGCCTTTAATCACGACTTGCATGAATCCGGGTTGAGTCGATAAATCTTTCAGGATTTCACCATCTCGTGAAAAACACAACATTACCTGATACAAAACGTCCTCAAATACGAAATATTGATCATCATTTGAAGCCGTCAAGTTGATATCTTTGATGATCAATTTATCGATCATTAAGTCGTACTGAAGAACACTTTCTTTCAGCGATTCGAAATATGAATAATGCTGAAAAATTTTTTGAGGAAAAAATTTTTTTTGGTTGTGTTAGAGGGTTACGTAAGGTTTGACATCGGCCCCTAAAACTAGAGTCCAAATTTTGGCCCTCAAACATTGAGGACAACCCTTTTTCAGGAATTCTTGTGCCATGGGGGCGTAATTTTTAGACAAAACTTTTTCACCTAGTGTTATTCGTTCCGTTTCGAGGGTGCTGTAATGAGGAGACAACATTGAGGAGTTTATACCCAAAATTTGCTCGCCTCTTGAAAGCTCCAAGTAGAGGCACCTCTAAAAAAAATAGTTTTATTTGTAGTAAAATGAAATAAAAAAATAAGACAAAAATGATGTATTTTTCTTTTTAATTCTTTGGAAAAACTTTTTTAACACTTTAAGTGTTAATTAATCCAAAAATAAGAGTAGTTTTTATACAATTTGCTGATATTTTTAGCAAAATTTTGCATTTGGTGATTTTTCAAACTGCTGTAAGAGAAATCTCGCAAAAAAAACGTAATTTCTAGTTCCACCAAAATATGCTTAAAAACTTTTTTTAAAAAAAGCCTAAAAACGTCTTCGAAAATTGCAAAAGTTAGAGTGTTTTGGGTCTATTTTAGTGATTTTTCAGCTGATTTGAACTAAATGTTGCAAAAATTGCATTTCTGGTAAAAAAAAGGGTGTAAAATTGCTTGAAAAAAATAAGAAAAAATGTAATTTTCTCCCTAATCTTGTAATTTTTTTGATCTGGTTTAGCAAAATTTTGCTCAAAACATGTCGAAACGTTTGAAAAAGGCAAGAATAACATCATTTTCAACTTCATTTGGTGATTTTTCAGACTATTTAAGAGACATTTCGCAAAAAAACTTAGTTTCTAGTTCAAAAATGTGCTTAAAAGCTTTAAAAAAAGCCTAAAAACGTCTTTCAGTTTTTGAAAATTTCGAAAATTACAGTATTTTATATCTTTTTTGATTTTTGGGCTTGTTTGAGCAAAATTTTCGTAAAAAAAATTGAAAAACGCAAAAAATGTTATTTTTTTCCCTAATTTTGTGGTTTGGTCTGCGCTAGCAAAATTTTGCCTAAAAACGTGATTAAACGCTTGAAAAAGGCAAAAATAACATCATTTTCAACTTCATTTGGTGATTTTTCAGACAGTTTAATAGGAATCTTACAAAAAACTAAGTTTCTAACATGATTTTTGTGCCAATTAAGTTATTTTTTGGCTTCTTTGAGCGAAATTTCGTAAACAGATTTTTTTATATCTAATTTTTTTAAAAAACTAAGCTCGAAAACATTCTTAAACGCTTGGAAAGCAGAAATGACGTGGCTTTTTATATACTTTTATAATTTTTTTTTAGATTAGATTAGTTTTAGTGGTTTTGCAGCTTGCTTGAGTGAAATTTTGCAAAAAAAAAATGCAATAAAATGCTTGAAAAAACAAAGTAATGTCTTTTTCTAACTAATTTTGTAATTGTTGGTCTGGTTTAGCAAAATTTTGCAAAAATCTGAATTTTTAGATAAAAAAAAACGATTAAAAAGAGCAAAAATAACATCATTTTCACTTTCATTTGGTGTTTTTTCAGAATATTAAAAACTAAGCTTTTAATTCAAAAAATTCACTTGAAAGAGTAATAAAAGCAAAAATAACGCGCCATTTGGATTGTTTTAGCGAAATTTTCTAAGAAATAAGTGCGTTTTTGGCTAAAAGACAAGCAAAAATAATGTTATTTTCGTGTAATTTTGTAAAATCTTATTTTTTAACTCAAAAACGTCTTCAAGCGTTCGAATATTATAAAAATTAGAGTATTTTTAGATTTATTTAGTTGATTTTTCAGCTTGTGTTGAGCCAAATATTGCAAAAGTGCGTTTCGAATTTAAAAAATTCTAAAATGCTTGAAAAAGGCAAAATTGTGTTTTTTTCCAATTTTGTATTTTTCTTATCCAATTTTGTAATTTTTTAGTCCGTTTTTTTCAGCGTTCCAGAAATTGCAAAAATAGCAGATTAGATCTAATTCGGTGATTTTTCAGCAAAATTTTGTAAAAAATGGGCAAAAAAATCTTATTTTACAAATTGTATGGGTTAGCACAAGCAAAAATTTAGTGATTTTTCAGACTATTTAAGAGAAATTTCACAAAAACGACTAAGTTTATAATATAATTCAAATAACTCCATTTAAGATTTAAAAAAGCAAAAATGACACTATTTTTGAGGCATTTGGGTGATATTTTCTATTGTTTTAGCTAAATCTTGTAATAAAAAAACTAAAAACTCTCTAAAATGCAAAAATTTTTTGTAATTTTTATTTGACAATTTTAAAAATGAAAGTAGTTTGAAATTGCTTTGGTGATCTTTCAGCGAAATTTTGCAAAAAATAGGCAAAAAATTCTATTTTACAAATTTTGTGGTTTATCAAAAAAACATTTTTAAACGCTTTGGAAAAGCAAAAATAATTTTTAATTTTTAGTCCGGTTTGTTTTCAGCGTTCCAGAAATTGCAAATAATAGCAGTTCGGTGATTTTTCAGCGAAATTTTATAAAAAAAATAGGCAAAAAATTTTATTTTTCAAATTTTGTGCTTGAAAAGAGCAAAAATTTAGTGATTTTTCCGACTATTTAAGAGAAATCTCACAAAAACGACTAAGTTTTCAATTAAAAAGAATCCACTTAAAAACTTAAATTTTTTTAATTCTTTAGTCCGGTTTGTTTTCAGCGTTCCAGAAA